GCCGGGGGTTGAACATAGGCCGGAGCTGGTAGAGCAACCGGTTCTGGTGCAGGGGGTTGTTCATAGACTGGAGCTGGCAGTGGAACAGGTTCTTGTGCCGGGGGTTGAACATAGGCCGGAGCTGGTAGAGCAACCGGTTCTGGTGCAGGGGGTTGTTCATAGACTGGAGCTGGCAGTGGAACAGGTTCTTGAGCCGGGGGTTGAACATAGGCCGGAGCTGGTAGAGCAACCGGTTCTGGCGCAGGGGGTTGCTCATAGACTGGAGCTGGCAGTGGAACAGGTTCTTGTACCGGGGGTTGAACATAGGCCGGAGCTGGTAGAGCAACCGGTTCTGGAGCTGGCAGTGGAACATGTTCTTGTGCCAGGGGTTGAACATAGGCCGGAGCTGGTAGAGCAACCGGTTCTGGTGCAGGGGGTTGTTCATAGACTGGAGTTGGCAGTGGAACAGGTTCTTGAGCCGGGGGTTGAACATAGGCCGGAGCTGGTAGAGCAACCGGTTCTGGTGCAGGGGGTTGTTCATAGACTGGAGTTGGCAGTGGAACAGGTTTTTGTGCCGGGGGTTGAACATAAACCGGAGCTGGTAGAGCAACCGGTTCTGGTGCAGGGGATTGTTCATAGACTGGAGCTGGCAGTGGAACAGGTTCAGGTGCAGGGGGTTGAACATAAACTGGAGCTGGTTGAGGTAATGGTTCTGGTGCAGAGGGTTGAACAATAACTGGTGGAGGCAATGGGTTTGGTGCAGGTGAAGGAGGTTGTTCATAGACTGGAGCCGGTAATGCAACAGGTTCTGGTGCACGGGCTTGTTCATAAACTGGAACAGGTTGAGGTAATGGTTCTGGTACAGGGGGTTGAACAAAAACTGGTGGAGGCAATGGGATTGATGCAGGTGAAGGAGGTTTTTCATAGACTGGAGCCGGTAGTACAACAGGTTCTGGTGCAGGGGGTTGTTCATAGACTGGAGCCGGTAGTGGAGTTACACGCACGCATTTCACTTCTGATTGGTCAGCGCAAGGATATTCGTAACGTTTCGCTACGGGATTGAAGTGTAGACCATCAGGACACAAGTATTTATATGCTTTGTCGTCCTGCAATGAAATAAAGGACATTATAATTATGATTAAGCTGAAAACAATTATAACAACTGATAACAAAATATATATTTTTGCTTACCTTGCAGTCGAAGAAGGTATCACATTCGTTAGCAACTGCATAGTAACCATCTCCATTGCATTGGAAGTCCACCCATATGTGTCCAGGCGGTAGTGTTACAGGGTTAGGGCTATAAGTCACTGGAGGTATTGGTGGCACTGTTGTTTGCTCTGTTATTACATCGTTAGACGGCGTTGGATTTCCGATAAAAGCAAGTTCCCGAACGTGTTCAGGCTTAGGAAGAAGTGGAGGTAAAGATTCTAGTTTCGAAGGTAGAGGCACAGGTGGCACATAAGCTGCTACACGGTTCTCTGGAAACTGTGGTTCAGAAAAAGGTACAGCTTTTTGTGATAGCTCTGGGGCCGGCTGCTCCAGCTCCGGTTGTGGATATGCGACGGGAGCTGGTGGTTGTTCGTAAACCGGTTGTGGCAGTAAGATTGGTTCTGGCGCAGGTGCAGGAGATTGAACATAGACTGGAACTGGTAGTGCAATAGGTTCAGGTGCAGGAGGTTGTTCATAGACTGGAGCTGGTAGGGGAATTGGGTCAGGTGCAGGTGCCTGAATGTCGGCTACAGCCGGCAGTGGAACAGGTTCAGACGCAGGGGGTTGTTCATTGACTGGAGCTGGCAGCAAAATAGGTTCAGGTGCAGGGGGCTGGACGTAGACTGGTGGAGGCAATGGGATTGGTGCAGGTGTTGGGTGTTGAACAGATATAGGTTCTGCTGCCTGCTTTAGATCTGCTTCCTCACGTTCTGGTTGAATTGAGTACACTTCTGGAGCAGTTATCGTTTGTTTGTCACCATAGTTTATTGGGAGTGGTGTTACTGCCTTCCTGGTGAACGCGACTGCTCGAGATTGTACTGGAGCTGGGGCTGCAGATACAGGTTCACCTGGTACGCGAAGTGGCCTTGGTCCATAAAGTGCACTTGGCCGCTGATATCGCACGTTCGAGCTTCCATTGTACTCGTATGGATTATTCACTTGTCCGTACGTCACTGTTTGGTAAAAAAAGTTCACAAATGCTTGTAAATAGAAGAGTAAGCTTATCGAAACTATATAGAATAGTAATACAGACATAATGACTTACCGCCTACCAGTAATGGCAGTATAAATATCAGTTTCCTTCGTATCATTGTTGTGATATGCACCAGGTGCTCTCAGTTGGACAGCATGCACCTCACTGTATATAAATGTCCTACTTTCCGTCGTTTATAAATGGAAATTTATTGCAAAAACGATTAAAATCATTAGGATCTAATTGATTTTTTATGTGGTTGTTTTAGTAGAAGTCATTGTTAATGAGGAAGTTAAAGAAGTTTAAAAATATTTGACTGGTCCTCATTTGTGAAAACTGTTATTTTTTATGATTATTGAAGGTACTAGAAATCGTTAGAGATACTTTAAATCGGTGTATTCATTATTAAATGTCCACAACTATTAATCTAATAGTTGACCACAAAGTTAACGAGTGATCACAATTTTTCGTTAATGTCTAAAATCGAGATTTAGTTGAATTGTTTAACTTCACATTTTTATACGGCAGAAATAGTAACAAACTTATGTCTCACTTATATTATATAAGAAAGAACATAAGAGCTTTACCGACGCTATTTTTCGTCCTATATTTTACTACTATCCTATATCATCCGATCATCGTAATTGTTTCTCATAAGCAAGGCCTTAGTCCGAAATACTGTCACAATGGGTTCATCGTGTTGGCAAAAATAAGTTAGCTATACCGCAATTCAGACTGTCCATAGTACAGAAATCCTTTATGGGGTTAGGTATTAAATGCTATAATAAAATACCAAATAGCATACTAGATCTCAATGAAAGTAAACTTAAAACATATATTAAGCGCGAATTATGTAATCAAGCTTACTACACACTGACAGATTATCTTGAAGATAAGAATGCTTGGCAGCACGTTGGTTCGGCTCCACTAGACAATACTCAAATGTAGTCAGTAGTTAAATTCCAATAGTACGTAATATAATACATAATTTAATACTTTAATTCTAATGTAGACAATCTAGTTTCCATATGGCATCGAACATTTCTTTCTTTATATTTTTTTTTCTTTAAAATTTAAGAAAAAGGAAACAAAGAGTTTCTTTTTTCTTGTATAGAAGCACTATTTCTATGGATTGTCAGTATGCATATGTGAGCACTTAAGATTTTTATTTTTTTTATTTTAGTAAGTTATTAGTATAATGCGTCAAGCGTGTCTTTGCATTGTTCTTACATATGCGTACAGTATTGAAATATATATCAGAGACATTGTAGAACATACTATTTTAAAAAAAAAGAGTAACGAATGGAGTGTCTTGCTCGTTCTTCTCCATTCGAATCTTCATTTTGGAATAAGCACCTAACTTCACCTAATTTCACTGACGGACTGACTGACAGACTATTATTTATTTTGTATTTGTTGACGTTTTAAAAGTACCAAACTATGGTTTAATTGAAATAAATGCTTTGACTTTGACTTTGACTCAAAAAGGATAAATACAAATTAAGAGATAATAATGTTCTTTCTCCATCTTCTTCCTGCTATTATCCCAAGTTCTTAGGGGTCGAAACAAAAAAGATTTATTCATTGAGATTAGTACGAGTTCAAAACATTGTTTAAATGGACAAGGATGATGATTGCCATGTTTTGTCTCTATCACTAGTAGCTATTTGTCTTTCAGGTTTCCTGTAACATTACACACATTTATTCTTGTATTATCCACTTTGTTCAGATTTCTTTATTGCTTCACACTTTGCGCTGTGGCATTATATTTTCTTTCAGAAGAAACGATGATTGAATTCAGAGCCTTCCAGAAAAAAAATTAATTACCCGAATTGGTTGTGAAGTGTAAGTATGTAGGTAAGTATAGTATTAACAACATATAAGTTAAGTGCTTTAAACTGTCAAACACCAAGCGGTCACCGGTGACCGCAACCTATTGTTCTATAATTGTGTCTGCAAAACCGGTACTCGACGAGTTAACGGACATTTCTTTAAAAAAAAAACGTTGCCCCACACTGGGATTTTCTCCTCTGTCGTGGGTGCGTTTACAAACATACAAGTTCACATACACATGACACCCAGACCCGAAACAACAATTTGTGGATCACACAGTGTTG